TGTCTGAGGACCTCACTATAGAGCTCCAGTGAAGCATAACCCTCCCTAGCATGATCCATTAATTGTATAGCTGTGTCCTATAAGTCTGTTTTTCCTTATTCTTTTTTAAATACAATACATGGTTTCATTTAAATTATAGACAAAGGATCTGGAATGTTTAAAATGTATCACCGTAGAGAGCAAGTTTTGCTTATATGTAGTCAGTATGGCATTTTTCTTATTTTTATTGTCCATGTTCTTCATTAAAGTATGAAACCAAACCTCACCTTTGAGTAGTTTTAGACTTTGGAGAAGTCAGTATCTAAGTCATAAATGTGTATGAACATATTTTGGAGCAGGTTTCTGTGTGCTGTCCTTGCCCCAGAATGTTAGGAAAAAGGAAGAAATAAACCATCACTTGTAACTTTAGGAGGGAAGATAGGGTCTCACTATTAACTGTTCTCATTGTGTTGAGAGAGATGGAGGGGGAAGAAGTATCTACGACTGAAAATTAGGGAATTGTATTGCTATTCTCAACATGTATTGTTCTTCAGGACATTACTTGTTTGGACTTGTTTGTGCTCTTGGACAGGAAGTACCAGTGTGTTCTCCAGCTGGACTCTTTGTTTCTGTAGGAACTACAGCTGTTTATTTAATATCTTTCTTTTACATCTTTCTCAGGCTGCCCTTTGCGATTCCTAGTTATTCTCTCTCTCCGCAAGGCCTTGACATGCAGAAATGGAAGGTCCCCAAACAATTTGTCCAGGATATTTCATTGCCATCTTGTTCTTGACTCAGAGATTTATCAGCTATTCTAAAGTTAATATTCCTTCCTAGTGCCCAAAGGCTGTAATGTCAGGGCATATGAAGTGCAGTAACTAGGGAAGTTGAGACAGAACAAGTAGTTATAGGACTAATTTTAGTCTGCGTGCCAACAACTGTAAAGTGTAGCACTTCTCTCTATTTTGAAATATCATTCCCATGATCTCTTCCCATTCTATTAGATGTACTGAGACATCTTTCATCATAATTCCCTTTGCATAGAACCCTGTATATATTCTGGATTGTTAGGGGTTTGGCATGAATCAGTGGGCATGGAGGAGAGCAGTACGGGACTGGTTAGTAATTGCACGTACACTTTTGCAGGAAGGAAACATATTGGAGGATAACTGGATGCAATACATTGCTATACTGTGATATATATCACTAAGAGGCGGATAGAGAAGGGTATTGCTCAAAAAGGCTATTTACAGTGTACCCACCCAGGGCTGCTGGAAGGGTAACACCATCTATGCAGGCAGTCACAAGAAGGCTGCATTACCTATAAAACTCATGCTAAATAAGAGCACAGTCTTTGTCTTAAATACTCTTGCATACACCTGCAGATCTGCACAAAGTGCACTGCAAAACAAATAGATTTCTGCAGACATTGTTCTGAACCCTGTGTTAGCAGTGCTATGAGTCTGATTAGAAGTTGTAGAGTGCCTTGTACAGTAATCTCTTTGCATTCTTAAATGTCTCTCTCACCTTGCAAAATATGCCTGAAAAAATGCCAAGGTAGCTGAAAGCCCAGGGGATTGCTCAAGCTGTGAAGCAAAGTACTTTTTCAGTTTTTTTTCTCTTTCCATTTCCCCTTTTCCAATAAATATGCATGCATTACAGGCTGCTTGTTTAATTCCTGCAGTGCCACAGATTTGGATGTGAAGGAGAGGGATTTTTTTGCATATTTCAGGGTCATGAACAGCATATTATTTTCACTGAAATGGTACTGACACATGGACATATTGGGGGAAGGAGAGGGAATAGTATGCAAAAAAGAAAAAGTGGCCAGGAGTGTGTCAGTGTGGTCGATGATTATAGGGTAAGCCAATTTCAGAAAAAATAATAGCCACAGCCTAAATTCTCTGGTGAGGATGCCATTTTGAGCATGAGGAGGTGGATGGGGAACAAAGAAGTTGGATAGCCCCCTTAATTCACATCTATCTAAAATCCAAAATAGATCCAAAATAGTGACAACCACTAGATACCTAAAATATGAGGGTTGTGAGTTTTTTTTCCTTTTTTAAAATCTTTCTATACAGTTGCACTCAAAGTGCCTTCCAGCAGGTGCAAGCTTGGGACTACTGCAGACTCGTCTGGTCTCCCGAAGCCTAGAGCAGGGGGGAGCCCAGGCTCCAAGGACTCTGCCTAGCCTTTCATTCTCTCATCTTCGCTGGTACTTTGCAGTCCTGATTAAGGAGCTAGCATTCGGGTTCCACTCTTGAGAGAAGGACTGTGCCTCTTGTTGGGAAGACTAAGTATAACTCAAACTTCCTTTTTAGTGAAGGTATTTACTGAGGCAAGGCCACCCAGGCAGAGGTTCTTCACAACCCTCTAAGGTGTAAAGCTATTCCTTTGTCTCCAACCCAGCCCACGTAGTTCAGAACACCCACAAAAGGTACTCAGCTTTTCCCTTTACATTCTTTCTATGCCCAGAGTCCTGGAGTGCATCAACTGGTCTCTGACTCTTTAGCTGGACTCTGCTTGCAAAGACATGACAACCCTCTGTTCACATTGCCATCTCCATTGTTATATGCTCATCTTCCCCCCAGCTGCCTGGATGTGAACAATCTCACCTTTGTTGATATGTCAACAAAGCTATTCAAGACTCTGGGGGATGCTATAGGTCCATCGTCTACTCCCACACATAGACAGCCCTGGCATGTTGCAGGGATTCTATTAACCTATCTTTCCCTGCGTGCTATGTTACAGGTAACTGGAGTCATGCAATATTATAACATGAACACACGATTAACACCATAAATTCCATAGCTCATCACAGTTGCATAGCTTGATATATACTGGAAGAGCTCCCCTTCCCAGCAAAGCTGGGTGTCCATTTGTGTTTTGGATACATTGTCAAGCTCTAGCATGGCAAAAAATTACCTGTTCCTCAGAGCCCTGGTTGGGTCTGGAGGTCATGGTCTTTTTGGTGTCCCTGTTGCTGCCCATAAAATACTGGAGTTTGGTGGTAACCACATTGGCAAAAATCCAGTTCAGCTCCAGAGAATAGGAGCAGGTACTGGGAGCATTGGCAGAGGTATGGCTTCTGTCATTATTATTTTTTAATAATTCTTCTGAAGCTCCTGTTCTTTGTCATGGAATTGGAACCTGTCCTAGGAATGACCTCTCTCTGTCACTTGCTCAGTATATGCACATATATCTTGGCACTCCTGTGGTTGCTGTTAAGCAAGGACTGGATGGTACCCTCTTTTCAGATGCCAGGGGAATCCAGGATTTCTGCAGGGATCCATGTGAATGCACATGACATGGCTACAATAATGTTGAGAAGGGTATTTGATTCCATAAAATGGAGACATCTTGACTATAGGGGAGCATTTAAACAACTATGTGACATTCAGTCAACAGTTCCTTAGAAAAGCAAAGTGTTCAGAGGCAAACAGACAAGTCAGTTTAGATATGAATCCATGCAGTATGGGAAAACAGAGGGACTTCCAGAGATAGGAAAATTAATTAGTCTGCCCACATGAAACTTTTCCAGGACTAATTTATTCTGAAATGAATTGAATCCATTTGAAAGATGGATTTTCCAATTTGCAAGAACTAGCCAGGTAATTAAGAAAAAGAAGTGGATTGTGTAAAAACAAGTTGTTTTAAGATGAACACCCCGCCCTGCCCCCCTATGTAAAATATCAATTCCCTGTGTGAACAAATCTCATATAATAATTTTCATTTCAGAAGAAACCTTTAATCACTCAGTTCAATTGCATAATGGGTATACAAACAGTTCTTCATAATAGACATATGAGTGACAACTGTAATACCCTGTCATGCTGTTAAGAACTGTCTGTTCCTATTAAATGGATCCTACATCTCCAGCCCAGTATCTCTGCTTTCAGTAACACAGTCATACAGATTATAATGGTTGGTCAAGACCATCATGCTATTGCATTCTTCCAAAAGAAAGTTGATTTGATTCTGGCAGAAAATATAAATTGAGAACACAAGAACAGTTCTTATAGTAATAAATTAGATTCAGTAATAGGGCCTTTTATGTCAGTTATGTGCATTTAAAGATTTGGTTTCACAGTGCTCCTTTCTGTATTCTGTAGAAAGAAAACTAGATCCTGTAGACTTTCTGCTCTTGTATGCAGAGTCCGCCTACAGTAGTCAAAATCATTATTCATTTGTGCACGTACAGGCCTTTTCCCTCAGCCCACTTACAAGTTATTGACATTTAAAACTGCCATTTTCAGCAGAAAGGTACTTGCCTGGGTTCAGTAAATGCTCATAACTCTAAATGTAATGCACCTGGAGGACAGAATTGTAGTGTTTTTAATAAGCACTAATGAAAACCATGACACTTTCAGCACACTTTGAGAAGGGCATTTGTTGGAAGCTTAACTAGGTTGATACAGCACTGAAATGACCTTTTCACTACTGCTTGGTGCTGCATCAGTGATGCCAATTAACAGAAATAGGGAATATATTGGGATACTAGCCAATTGCCCATCAAGAATGTCCAAATGCTTCTTCACACTCTGATTGGCTGTTTGTCAGCCAATCAGAGCATGAATAAAGCATTATAGACAAACAGATTAAGGCTTTTATAATATTTGATATATTCTGAAATGAAATTCAGAGCCCATCTTTCCTCTTCTTAGAGGTTTAAGGCCTGATAATTTTTCCAGCTAAACCTCCCAGCAAAAATTTGACTGTATCCATACGTACAGCTCCACCTTGTTCTGCCAGCAGAGCGATGTCTGCTGTGTGAGCAACAGAAGGACTCTCCACCTAAACGAAGCTGCAGACTGCGTGTACAGACATGTCCACACTTCTTGTTAGCAGATCTGGCCCTTGCAGGCACACTGGCTGTATTGGAGCCACGTGCAACCACCGGAAGCTGTGTGGGTGGGAACACGCTTTGCCAGCTTCCCTGTGGCAGTAGTTATTTGCTGTCAAATCTTGTAATGCACACAGGCTCCAAGTCAGTGCCAGGTGAGGCAGTGGCTGCAGATTACCATAATATGAAGGCTGTGATGGTTTGTATGAAGTGTGCTGGGTAACCTCAGAGGAGTTTTGAGGGAACAGATATTCCCACCACACTGATCGCTGCCCTTGTTGGTTGTCACTGGAAAAGAGACAAAGAATGGGATGAGCCCAGAGTTAAATCATTTCTTTACTCTGGACAAATCTCTCTCTTGAATGAGGCTGAAGCATATTGGCAGGGATTGCTTTTTCTGCTGCTGTCTGTGCTGGACCTGTTCAATACGAAAGATAATTTGTTTTCAGCAGCTCAATACATGTCAACAACTGCATGTTACAAGCCCTAAATTTACTTTATCACCATATGCAGTTGTGCAAAGTGTGTAGAAGTCAGCATTTTCAAAGCTGTTTATATTGCCTTTCTGCATTGGAAAGTGACTGTATAAAAATAGTAACTTCTTTACTCAAGAGGACTTGCTTCCATCAGGCATAATTATTTTATTTCTTATGCCAGCCTTACACTACAATAATGTTCATCTACTGATTTAGGGTGAGTCCACACAGCAAAACGAAGCTGTCACTGTGGCATGTGTTTGCATAGCTCACTGGTATCAAAGATCCACACTGCAGGCCAGATCCAGCCCTTGAAGTTGTTTCACTGAGCCCACAGGTCTCCTAAAGGGGCTTCAGATTCAGGCAATTTCCCAGCTATAGAGCCTCATTGGGAATACATATGGGGGAGAAGGGGGAGGACCACCACCGCTATTTGCCCCAGTGCCGCTGATCCTGCTGCTGGTCTGAATCTGCCCTATAAGGCTCTTCATGGTCTAGATGTGGCCCACAAGAAACCCTGCAGTCCACATACAGTCTGGTCCAGGTAAGTTTGACACTACTGGCATAGCAGTACCAGATAGTATGGGCAATGGTAGCAGTGAAGACCTGGTCTTACAGGTTGAGCATTCATTATCAACCAGAGTACACATCCCCCAGGGAACCTGGGATGTGATGTTGGGGTCTATGTTGTTGCATCTTCACTGTTACTGTTACCCATGCTAGCTAAATTAAGCTGGTACTAGTATGCTAGCACATGCTATAATAATACCTTCATTTTACAGTGAACACATACCATTAGTCTGGTATAAGGGAAAAGGAAAAAAAAAACAACCTGTGGGCATTGCTACTTTGATACTTTGTTGAGTTTTTGCTTGTTAGCCCCCCAGAAACTCAACAAATTTTGGGAGAATGAACAGGGTTCTGTTCTGCTTCATGCATCATATAAAGCTAGGGTAACAAAATGTAGCCTGTGGGCTGGGTCAAGCCCAGCGGGGTTGGGTTACTCAGCCCATGGGCCCCTCACAAGCTGGACCACCAACCTCTGCAGGCTGGATTTGGCTGCAGGGCTCACTGCCCTGGTTGCTGGAGCCCCTGCAGCAGTGGCAATATTACTGGCTGTTTTGGCACAGCATTGGGACCCATGAGTTAATGCTGCTTGCCTCCTTGGTCCCCCTTACCTGCCATCCAAATCAGGGTTTTTAGTGTCTTTTGGTGATAAAGAGTGGGAAGCAAGCAGTAACAGTGCTAACTTCCTAGGTTTCAATAGCTTCACTGAAAAAGCATCTGCTCACTGATCATCCCATTCACAGGAAGCCCTGCAATCCGGATGCAGCCTGTGGGATTACATGACCTAGACACCACTAGCTTACCATTTTTAATGCAGATCTAAGATTGTATCCCTCCACTGGCTTCTCTGTTGGACCAAACATAACTCAGTGGCCTTCCCTTACAAGGCCCTTTAGAGCCTAACTCCATCCTGATACTTATAACTTATACACTACCGAGCTCCTGACTCCTTGTCTCTGCTCTGACAGCAGTGTGGGGCCTTTTTTTTTAACATAAATTTATGTGAAAAAATTATACATTTTATCTCGTTTTCATTGTAAGCCATCCTGTACCTTTTTGGGGGAGGGTGGTATATAAATCCAGTAAATAAAATAATTGCCAGCTGTTATGATCATTAGTTCAACTTCCTTTCAGTTCCCCTTTGTGCCTCCTCTCATACTATCCTCTTCAGGCTGGGAAGTGTGTTCAGTAAAGATTTGCCAAGCCAAGGACAAGGCCATGGAGGAAGACTTACCTAAAGAGAAAGACAAATGGAGCTGGCAGGAGGCCATGCCAAGCTGGAAGCGTGGCAGGAGCAAAGCCACAGCCGGGAAAAATGCTGCGTCGGAAAAAACAAAAAAGAGAGCAACCGGTCTGGGAGGAGCCGGGACCAGCTCCCGTGCCAGCATGGGCGCGTTTTATGGCAGTGTGCTGGTTCCGATTCGCTGGCTGGTCCCTTGAAAGGGGAGTAAAACCCCAATGGACAGTGGGCAGGAGGAACTGAAAGTAGGTTCTCTGGCAGACCCAGAGCAGAGCAAAGCCCACTGAGAGAAAGTGGTGGCAGCCCCAGGAAGGGGCCTCCAGAAATAACATAAGCCCAAGAAGGCTAAAATACTCATCTGCAACAGAGCCGTGGACTCCCGATGTTTTCGGAAAGGATTGGATCCACCAGGAACCTGAGGAGAGAAGAAGAGATGGCCATCTGAACCATGGTGAATACAAACCAGTGAGAGAGGAAACGGCGCCGGGAAGCAAGGTAAGTTGGGGTCAGGAAAGAGTCTGGGCCAGTCCCACTATGGCCTAAGCAAACCAGGATGAACTGACATCTGAACGCCTGTACCACAATTCGAAAGGCCAAGATAAATATAACTATACTGAAACCAAACCCAGAAGATCGGAGTTCAACATCCTTGGTTGGCATTAGGTGAGGTATAGGGGAGATGGAGCCCCAAACAGGAATATGAATGGGAAGATTGAAGGAGGGGACCAGGAAGAGTGGGACATATCATCTTCCTCCCAATTAAACAAATTTATTCCAGGAAGACATGGCAGGTGAGAACCCCCAAGAACCCTCCGGAATCTAATCCAGTAACAGGCTGTCCTTTCCCCAAACAATGGCAAAGTCTGAAAAACCCATACGGAGAAGACGCCATGGTGACTGGCATGGGAGATTACACTATCCATTAAAACTTTGCCAGGTTTATGACACAGGATCCTCTCGTAGTTTCAAACTCAAACTCATAATTTCAGGGCAAAACTCAGCAAAATAACAAATTGTATTCCAGATTTAAGCTTGCAAGACATTCAAAATTTGAGGAGTAGAATGTGGGGCCTGATCCTGTAATCAGTTACATTTATAAGGACTATTCCTATGAGTACATGTGCTTCTGTATATAAGTACTTGAAGGATCAGAAACCCTCTTTCTTCTGGAGACCATAAACAGCTTCTAGGCACCTAAAACACTATTCCAGTTTGCTACAATGTAGCCAGGGTTTTGAGTATATAACAAAACATACTTGGCCTAGTTTCTAGTTTGTTATGGTCTATGTTCAACTCTGCAAAAAAATCTCCCTGGGGTCTGAATATATATTTTTTCATACCAGAACGTGACAAAAATAATGAGAGTAACCATATTTTTCTCATTTCAGCTTTTGTAACACAATCAAAAACCAGATAGGGAATGTGTGAGTTTTAGGATTTGCAATTTACAACTTGTTCATGAGAATTATAAATGGGATTGTGTTGTACTAAATTTAGTTAAGGTGTGGGGTAAATGAAAATGAAATGATCGGAGAAACTATTCCAGTCTCAAATCCTAATTTATTGAACACATAAGCAATACCAATTTTTAAGCAAGGCTTGAAATATAACACCTAACTTCTAAGCAAGTCCTAACAGTCAATATAGATATTTTTATGTGAGCCTTCTGATGGATACAGTGATTTCAGCTGGCCAGGTGTCCGTCATGGCACTAGGGTTCGAATAGTTGTTGTCAGGGCCACCCAGAGGGTTTATGGGGCCTGGGGCGGGTGTGAGTTGGGGGCCCCACCACTGCCCCATACAAGGACCCGTGTGTGTGTACAAACCTGGGGAACCACGTGCAAGAATTCTTGCATTCATGCATCACATGTGAGAGTTCTCACATGCGGCTCCTCCTTCCCTTGCCCTGGGAAGTGGGAACAAGCAGGCTTTCTGCTTGTATGCCCTTTTCAAGAGCTTTATCAATGGCTGTTTTTCCACTAAGAGCATTTGCAAGATCTTTCCACTGTAAATAATGTTGAAGATGACCAGAATTGGTCTCATGACTCTTCACTTTGTCATACAGTTTTCTTCAGTTATCATTCATACCCCCATGGCAGAATCTGGAATGGTACAGGGCTTGATTTTTGTTCTGGTCTTGGAAGAGACAGCATGGAAAACAGAACAGGCCAGTTGTCTTGTGGCTCCAAATGAGTCCTTTTTCACACTCTCGTCATTGGACAGATTCTTGCAGAAAGCATATAGGGAATGACCATTTGCAGGAATCATGTGGGAAGCTTGCAAGTTTGGGTGGTGGGCCCTTGGACACAATTAGATCCCTTTGCAACCTATCGAGATGCCCCCCAGGTGGCTGGGTCTTTAGAGAACATTTCCTGGTGAAGTTCAGGTGCAGATCTGGAAACAAGATCAATTGTATTGTTTTTCTCATTTGATGCTGTCTCCTTCAGCTTGCACCACTAAACTTGACTAATTTTCACATTCTCCTGCTAAGTCACTGCTTGTTTCCTTTGTGATGTTTTCATGATCAGAATATTCTTCATCCCCTGCAAGTGATGTGCCACCTGCATCACCTGTTCTACTTCCAACTTCCTTATTTCCTTTCACCACCCATCCAAACTGATGCAGTGTCTGCTTCCCCTTTTCATCCCGAGCTTTTTTCTCCTTTGTCTCCTTTCTTTTTGATGCCCCAGATTGATAGGTGCAGTTAATTTTTTCTTACACGGGGATAAGGGGATAGGAATAGGGTTGTACGTCTCCTGAGCACCTCCAAATCCCCAACCCCTTCTGGCAGAGCTGCTCTCTCCTACCAGTTTCCTGGCGCCCGGCTCAGTCTCACAGGTCTTCTGGTTGTGGCCTGCTGGCTGGCCGCCTCCACTACTCAGGAAGGAACAAAGGCCTGGCCTCACACCACTCCTAGGCCTTTCCCCTGTGGTAACTGCCACAGAAAATTACTCTCCAGTGGGACCTTACCTGGAAATCTTAGCTGGTGCTCATGTAATCCCCATAAACTGGGTTGTACTTGTGGGTGTGGCAGAGGATAAGCAGGCCCTGCCCCCGCTTAAGGAAAAGGAAAGTAACTGCAGAGAGAGTAGACAGAGGAAGGAGGATTGTCTTTGTGCTGTTGCTGGAGAATAAACTTGTATATTTAGCCTTTAACCCCTTGATTAAGGCACTGTAAGACTGTTCATATTCTTATGGGACTTAATAAGCAACCACTGCTGTTTGAAGGACCAGAAGAGAGCAAGTCATCTCTGCAATACTGAAAGCAAGATTTGCAGTTTGGAGCACAGGCTTCTTCAATCAAGGACTTTAATATTTTTAGAGTTATCTGGATACGTTGCATTTAAGTACGTTTTGAAGTGGGGAAATATGTGAACCTGAATATGTGTTATGTTTAATGTTGTTATTTTCCTTGGCAAATCTAAAGAAAACAATATATATCATTTTAATTATTATATTCTTGCAAATTTCTGACTTTGGCCCTTAAGAACCCACAGAGCTGACAGTCACTCACGACTTGAACCCTCTTTCCCCTAGAGGTCTTCCTGTGACAACAGGCCGGCTCTGCCACAGATCCCACCTTAAACCTTCCCTGTTCCTCCTCTCATCACAACAGACTCGGTAACCAGGGCTACTTGGCCTACGCCCTACGCTAGGCCAATCATAAGCCTGCCTGATCAGTCTCATCTCTATTGCTGCCCAGATATAAAGAAAGATGTTACCTTACCATGATTGGTTTAGACTCCCCCTAGGACATCAATGCAACAATCACTTAAGCCTCAAATTAGTACCTGTTTCACACACAACGATGCATAATATTTATTTCATGGTTGGGGATGGGTCCCATAATGTCACAATATGTTGAGAATGATTCAATGTCATCTTACACTCTAATACACCAATTTCCTCTTTTTTATGAAAACAAAATACCAAGAATTATGGTGAGCGATGTTGCAGGGCAGGAGCCAACGGTACACACAGGAGCTGAGGCAGGGAGCCCTTGCTTTGCAGGGGCCTGGGGCAAATTGCCCCAGTTGTCCCCCTCCCCCCCCAGCAGTCCTGGTTATTGTTTCTTTTTCTGTATATGGCTCTTCCCCAAATTTAAGATTTTCTTAGGTTTTTATATCCTTTTCCCCACTTCTCTTCTGTATGTCCCATATACGGTTATGTCATGCAGTGGTCATCTTCCTGTCAGGCTGCATCCTGTTATCTCAGACAGCTAAACTGCATTCTCTTTTAACTTTCTTGCTGACATGGATTATAAAGAAGTGACCTAAACTGTGATCTACTTGCTTTGCTTTTAGTTAGGGGTGCTAATTATGTCAAGGCACAAAATGATGCTGCTTATGCTAAGCATTTTGCTAAGGCAGCTTTCAGGCCTACACTTGAGTCAAAACTTCAGAGTCAAAATCCCCAGAAACTGAACCTGGATCTGAATCTGAATTCTGTGCCTATATGGTACACCAAATAAAAGGTCTATTAATCTCAAACTTTGAAATGTTCAAACCCCCTTTCCCCCTCCCCATCCACTCAATTCCTGGCCTGCAGTGATCAGTTACATAGAGAAAGGCAGCTGTAACAATCCTACAGACCTCAGTTAGATCAAGATTTGGACCCTACAGAAGGGAAATACTAGTAACCTCACACTTGGTATTATCCATTTCAATCTAAATCAATAGATTCTTCAAAGCTAAGGAATAGTAAAACACATTTTGATTTTTACTTTATTTTTAAAATAAAACTATTTCAGCCAACTGAAGAGCAATAAAGAATCATCTTTTCGATAAAAAGATCCTTTATAAACATTGTCTTGTACATCATTAATTATCATAACAATGACATCCTGCCCACAATATTGTTAATGCTATAAAATAATCTCTGTAAGGTGGATATATGAGGACAAGTGGCTTCCAAGCTAGACAGATAACTGGTTAATTATAATTTACTCTATGATAAGAACATCAAATAGGACAAGTATATTTAGTGATATCTTGGGCTTGCATTTTACATGCAAGCTCAATGACCAAGTGCCATCTGGTGGTCAAAACTCATAACGCTTTGTTTGTT